CAGCCGAGATTTTTGTGGCCTTTACGTGCCTGGGATGCCTGCAGAATCCCTGTTCCGGTGAGGCCCAGCATTTGGGCTCCAATGCATTCTCCTCCTGTGCACTCATGGCATGTCCAGCTCACCAAGTCTGGCCTGCTGCACCTCAAAAAAAGTAAGGCCTCCTCCAAAATAAGCCCAAATGCTTGTTCTCAGTCTAAAAACTCAAGTCTTATTGTCGAAGAAACACAGTAAGAAACTGAGATGGCCTATGGGATTTGAACAGCTAGATGGTTCCCTTATGGGGTGTGTTTGTGCCAGCAACCTACCTGATAGAGCCAGTGAGCGTAAGGCTGGGGAACCACATGGAACCACTATCTGCTTTATCATGGGCCCCGAAATGACTGAGACCATGATCCTAGGGCTAGTCTGGCTAAAGAAATGGAATCCAGCAAATGATTCCGAGAACAAGAAAAGAAAATGGCTAAGCAACAGGAAATACGGAAAGCGCCAGGTGCCAGTCACAAATCATCAAAAATGAATTCCATGTTCAAAAAGCGATTCCAAGTGTATTCCATGATGTCCAGGGAGATGGAGATGCTTAGCACCTAACTAGGGGATTCATCCAGCTGGCCAAATCCTGTGCTTTTCAAATAAAAGATGGGTCCCTGAGGATGTGCATTGATTATAGGGGTATAAACACCATTTGTGTGGAGGACATGTACCTCCTGATGAAAGACACATTGGGTTACTTGTCAAAGGAAGTTTGACAAGCTGGACTTGAGGGAAGTGTACTACTAAGCTGGACTTGAGGGAAGTGTACTACTGAGTGAGGATTAGAGAGGGAGACAAGTGGAAGACTACATTCAACTGCCCCTTAGGATGTTACCAATTTCGGGTGATGCCATTTTGACTCCAGGGGGCACCAGCCGTGTTCATGCAGCTAATAAATAAAGTCCTACATGAATACTTATACAAGGGATACTGGTGTACCTGAACAATATTTTAATTTATAACTGAGACTATAGAACAACACGTAAACCTTAGCTGTGCTAAGGAAGCTGCTAAAAGCCCAACTATCTTCTGACTTCTTCTGACCTAGTGTCATGCCCCTGGTGGAGTCTGACTCTGAGGAAAAAGAGGAACAGCCAACAGGGAGTGGGAGTGTGGCTCCAGAGGTGGTGGAGGAGGCTGGGGAAGGGCAGAGCCCATCCCCTATCCATCCTAGGTCATGCAGGGAGGAGAGGATCAGAGAAAAGCAAGGTCTACTCAAGAGAAGATTACCATGGATTACCACCTCATGGCTTGCAGGTGGGAGCTATGTATATAAGTTTCCAACTGCGCAGTTAGAATTGCTGA